GGGGCAGCTCTGCCTCCCCACGCCTGGACAAGAGCCTGCAGCACGGAGGCTGCTCCAACCTCCCATCCCTGCTCCTGCAGGAGGGCCTGGACGGGGTCCTCAAGATCCTGGTGAACCAGCTGAGCTCCGACGACGTGAACGTGCTGACCTGCGCCACCGGCACCCTCTCCAACCTGACCTGCAACAACAGCAAGAACAAGACCCTGGTGACGCAGTCGAACGGGGTGGAAGCCCTCATCCACACCATCCTGCGGGCGGGCGACAAGGAGGACATCACCGAGCCGGCCGTGTGCGCGCTGCGGCACCTCACCAGCCGGCACCCCGAGGCCGAGATGGCGCAGAACTCGGTGCGGCTCAACTACGGCATCCCCGCCATCGTCAAGCTCCTCAACCAGCCCAACCAGTGGCCACTGGTCAAGGTGAGGGGCTGGAGCTGGGCGCCGGCTGCCGCTCCGTGCCGGGATGTGGTGCTGAGGGCTCTGTGGCCGGTGCTGTGCGGGGAGCGGTGGTGGCTGCATGCGGCACGGTGAGCTGCACATCCCTGATGGCAGCTAATGGAGGAAGTGAGCTCGTGCTGGCTGCTGGCTCGGATCAATACTCGCCCCGGTGGGAGGAAGCTGAAGTCATGCAGGAGGATGGGGTGGGATGAGCAAGGAGGAAGCTCCGTGCTGATGGGTTCCCATGGGAAGCACACGCTGCCCTGATCCACGGTTGAGACCCATCTCTCTTCCCCCCCCCCTCACCCCTTTCTCCTCTCCTCCAGGCTACCATAGGCCTGATCCGCAACCTGGCCCTGTGCCCGGCCAACCATGCCCCGCTGCAGGAGGCCGCCGTCATCCCACGCCTGGTCCAGCTGCTGGTCAAGGCTCACCAGGATGCCCAGCGGCACGTGGCCGCCGGCACGCAGCAGCCCTACACGGTGAGACCCCTCTGGTGCCCCCAAAACCAACCCATCCCTGGTGGGGGGGGTTGGCTCATGCTCAGGGGGGGGTTGTGCCCTGGCGCTGGTTCTGCTCCGGCTGCTCCATGGCCCTGGCTGAGCCCTTGTCCCCTGGCAGGACGGAGTGAAGATGGAGGAGATCGTGGAGGGATGCACAGGGGCACTGCACATCCTGGCCCGGGACCCCATGAACCGCATGGAGATCTTCCGCCTCAACACCATCCCTCTCTTCGTGCAGGTCAGGGGCTGGGGGGGCACGGGGCTGCTCTTTGTCACCACCCAGGGACCCCGGTGCTCGCTGCCAGCGCTGCCGCTGTGGGAGCCCGTCAGGAGCCCGCAGCTCCCCGCTGCCTGCTTCCCCTCATGGTGCTCCTCACCAACCCCGACAGCTCCTCTACTCGCCGGTGGAGAACATCCAGCGCGTGGCGGCCGGGGTGCTGTGCGAGCTGGCGCAGGACAAGGAGGCAGCAGACGCCATCGATGCTGAGGGGGCCTCGGCTCCCCTCATGGAGCTGCTGCACTCCAGGAACGAGGGGACGGGTGAGTGCCAGGGTTGGGGGGGGGCTCTGTGCTGCCGGGTATCCCCCCAGCTCGCAGTGCTTTAGGGTGCTGAGCCTGCTGCCCTTGCCCTGCAGCCACCTACGCCGCTGCCGTGCTCTTCCGCATCTCCGAGGACAAGAACCCCGACTACAGGAAGCGCGTCTCCGTGGAGCTCACCAACTCCCTCTTCAAGCACGACCCCGCAGCCTGGGAGGCGGTGAGCATCCCCCAGGGAGCCCGTTTTGTCCCTGCGGATGGACCCGTCCCGGCTCCAGCAGCCAACCGTGGATGGGAGCGACTGGAAAAAGGGGGTGCGGGGTGGACGGGCTGCATCCCGAGCTCGCCAGCAGCGCTGGGTGCTCCCTGGGATGGGGCTGGGCCTTGGGCACACGTGAACACGAATCCCCCTTCACTTGTGTCCCCTTCTCTTGTAGGCTCAGAGCATGATCCCCATCAACGAGCCCTACTCAGATGGTGAGTGCGGCGCCGGCTCTTCCTGCGGGGCTCCTCGTGGCTGTGCTCTGGTGGGGCATTGGCCTCCTCTCACCAAACCAGGCTGGTTCCAAACCCTTTCTTGGGTAGCTGCTGGTGCAGCACCAGCCTGGCCTGCTGGGGATGCTCAGCAGGATGCTGGCCCTGGCGCGTGGGGCCATCGGTGACGCTTGGGTCCATTGTGGGTGCTGCGGGCAGGGGGACCAGGAGGGGGTCTGGGCTTGGAGAAGCCGCTCACTGATGGGAGCTGAGGTTGCCCCATCCCTTCCCGCAGAGCTGGACCCCGGCTATCGCCCCATGTACTCGGGTGACATCCCCCTGGACCCCATCGACATGCACATGGACATGGACGGGGACTACCCCATGGACGCCTACAGCGACGGCGTCCGAGCGCCCTTTGCTGACCACATGCTGGCCTAACGTGCCCCGCACCAGGTACCGCTGCCCTGTGCATGGCAGGGCCATGGGGTCCCCGGTGCCAATGGGGTCGGCGTCCCCATTGTCCCATGGGCTTTGGTGGCCCCCAGGTTTCAGCTCAGTAACAGGAGCTCTCCGTGCCCCGTGCAGGTGTTTTCTCCGTACAGAAGAGGGTGGCCCCAGGCTGAGCATCTGCAAGAAGGACTTGGGAGACAGAAGTGCCTGAGAAGACAAAACTTTTCCATTCCCACCAGAGGCTTTGGTTTTCGATGTCTTTTCTTGGCTGTGGGGCTGCGGAGGAGGTCCTTTCCCCCTGGGACTTCTTCACGCACCTCCTGCCGCATCCAGCATCCAAGATCCTGTTTCTGAAGCTTTAAGGCCCACAAGCCCTGCCCCGTCTGCGACCTTCCGTTGCCACAATAGTCCTTTTTCTATGACTAGAGATTTCTTTTGTATTTTTAATATGGTGCCAATGGCTTTTGCCACCTTTAAGTTTGTGCTTTCCAACACCCCCCCCACACCCCGCTGCTTGTTCCCCCTGTTGGTGTTCGAGGGATGGAATCTAACATGGGAAACCCCTTTGTTCTCTGCGAACCCAAACCCAAATCAGGCCAACCCCGTTTGCTGAAAGCAAAGCGTGCCCTGTCCCAGGACCTTCCTTTTAGCCATCGGGATGTCTCTTTCCCATCAGCCGTTGGGGAGCTGACTCTGTACCTGCCTATCCCCCCCACCCCAGGACCCGTATAGGAGTGATCCCGCATTAGGAACCGTGTCCTTGTTACTGATCTCTGTTGCACATTTTAACCCCTTTCCCTTCTTTTTGGTGAGTGGTGTGTTCCTGTCCCCCCCAACCCGCTCCCTTCTCTAACACATGTTCTAAAGAGGCTCTAGATGGTGGTTTAACGCTTCCACTGGAAGGGGATGGACGCTTACAGGAGCGTGGTGCAGGAATGGAAGAGTTTATTATTTCTGTAAGTTGTTTTTGTATAGACCAAAGCAAAGAATAAAATAACCCCCCAGCCCCGTGGTGCCCTGAGCCTGTTCTTCTGTCCCCGAGCCCCATTGGGGTGGCCGGGCTGCGGGTCACCAGCGCCCTCCTTGTGGGAGCTCATTCCATCCTTTGCACCCACGTTGCCTGGCCCAGGGCTCAGGTGGTGGCTGAGGATGCTGCTCAGCAAGGCACAGGTCACCTCTGGCAGCCCCGTGCCTGTCACCAGGCACCTCTGCTCTGTCAGGAGCTGCAACCTCCCTGTAATTAAGAGTCGTGCTAATTAGGCAGCACCAGCAGCATCTCCTCTTTACTGAGGTGCTGGTCAGGATCGAGCTGCTCTGAGTGATGGAGCGGAGCCTGGATGGGGCCAGGTGAACGGTGGCATTGCCTCCATCAACCCGGGCTGCCTCCTGCCCAGCACGGCAGCAGATGGCAGAGGAAATGCTCTTGGCTCAGCCGTGCCCAGGAGCGCAATGGGAAGCGTCGCCTGTGCCAGGAGGGATCGCGCTGGGAGGTGGGTACAGCACAGGGCACAGCAGGACCGTGCTTGGCCATGGTGAGGCCTGGCAGGAGCCGCTCTGGGAAGCGGGGCCGGCTCCATCCCTGCCCCATGGCTCCTGTGCTGAGCTCAGCCCCGGCGCAGGAGGGATGCGGCCGCGCTTCCTGCCCTGGCCCTGCCATAGGGATGAGGAGCACGGCAGCTGCTTCCCGGGCAGAGCCGAGCGCGCTTCCGGAGGGCAGCTTCGGGACAAGGCTGGGACCAGGGAGGCGCTGCCAGAGCAGGAGCTGGAGCAGTGACAACGGGAACGGGCCCCTGTGCAGGGGGAGCAGGACACTGAGCACCTGCCCCAGGAGGGACCGCGTCCTGCAGCACCCGGGGCCATGGGCAGGGATGTGCCCCTCAAACCCTGGGGTCTTCTCAGTGGGGAAGGTGCTGAGACTTCCATGGCCCCACTCCCACTTGGGGACTCTGACACCTATAAGGGGTTTTCCATTGGGATTCCAGCTCCCTCGGAGTGAGCGGCTGGGGGCCTGCGGCTGGACCGGGATCCCCAGGGATGGATTGGCCGCAGCTGCAGAGCGGTTTGGCCGCAGGAGCTGGGATGCGGCCGTGCTCCATCTTCCCCAGTGCCTGAACCAGGAAGTCAGCGTGGGAGCGGGGAGGGTTTTCCTGCTCTGCGGAAGAGGCTGAGGCTGCGGAGGGCGTTTCTGCAGGGGGAAGGGAGCTGAGGACACAGCCCTTGGGCACAGAGAGCATCCCACGGTGTGGGCAGCCCCAGTGAGGGCTGTGGCAGGCACAGAGCACCCGGGCTTGGGGATCACAGCGGAACTGAGCCCGTTCCAGCTGGGAAGTTGGGCAGCGTCAGGATGAGCAGGGCAGGGTGATGGCTTTGGGTGCATGGAGAGACCCATTGCTGAGGGCTGGGATCCAGCACTGCGGGAGCCGCATCCTGGCCATGTCTGTGACTTCAAGGGACGTTCCCAGCTCAGGAGGGCTCCACAAGGGCCCCCCTGGGGACACCCCCTGCGCTGGGGCCAGGGCAGGGTGGCAGCGGCCCCCACATCCCAGCCATGGGATGAAGCCACCCGCGGCTGCACGGGCAGGGCAGGAGCCGCACGATGGCACCGGGCAGAGGGCACCGGGCTCAGGTCTGCGCCTGCCCCCTGCCCCGGGCCCTGCTGCTCCCGCTGCTGCCCCGGCACCACCGCCCTGCTCCCATGGGGCAGGTCCCGCATCAGCCCAAGGGCAGGGGCCGGGTGCGATGGGAGCTGCTCGGACGGGTCCGGACCCGGCTCTCCCTGGGCACAACGAGTGCAGGAGCGGGGCCAAGAGCAGGCGCAGGGCTCTGGCAGCCCCGGCCCCGCGCTGACCCACACCGGGCTCCATCCGCGGAGCCAGCGCGGGCAGCGGCAGCCCCGCAGCACGGTGGGTCCCTTCCTGCGCTGGGGACCATGGGTGGGGGGCTGCGGGTTTGGGGCTGCGGATCTGTTCCTCGGGCAGATTGAGCCGCCTGAGCCTGATGGTTCCAGTGCCGGGGGGCAGAGACCGGGGCCATGGGCGTGCTCGGGGGTGTCCGTGCTGCCTCCCGGCTGTGCAGGGTTTGGGGGCACCGCGGAGGTACCGGCGATGCCCTGGCACGGCCCTGCTGGGGGGGGGGGGGAGATGGGGCACGGGGCTCCGGGCCGGGCACAGCGGTGCCCGCAGCGGCTGCAGCCGGAGCCGAGGCGCTGGAGGGGGCAGGAACGCGCTGGTTTATGGCCTGTCCCGTGATGTGTTTATGGCCGGGCCGGGAGCGGGTGCTGCCCAGCCCTGCCCGGGGCGGCGCGGCGGGTCCCGGCTCCGCATCCTGCAGCGGGCGGGGAGCAGGTTCGCAGCCGAACTTTGCCCTCCGAGGTGGGGCTCCGCAGGCTCCGATGCGTCTGCCCGCTCCGAGCACCTCCGCGGCTCCTTCCTCTGCCCGCTACCACGGGCAGGGACCCGGCAGCGAGCCCGGGGAGGGGCGCAGGCTCCTGCCCCATCCCTTCGGAGCATCCTCTCCCCCCTCCGGCACCGGTGCTGATCCGGACATCACCAAGTGTTTGCTTTGGTGCTGAGTGCCCCGTGTCACGTAGTGGAGCTGAGCAGGTACGATGACCCGGCGCCATCCCGGAACTGCGCCGTGTTCGGCAGCAGTGGGGCCTGTCCTGGTGCTGCCTGCTCCCCTTGTCCCCATGGGGGGACCCGCGGCCCTGGCCGCGCTGTCCAGGACCCCACAAGCCCCGGCTGGGCAGATGCTGCCCATAGGGAGCCTTGAACCAGCGGGCAGCGTGCCTGGGGACAGGACCCGGAGCGCGGGGTTCAGGATGTGTCCCTGGTCCCCAGAGCATCACCCTAACGGCTCCTTGTCCGCAGGCAGGGGCTGCAGGAGGGACTCTGCTGCCCAGTGCTGCTCCGGGGAGCCAGGGTGGAAAGAGCTTCTCCCATGGCGCCCCCCACGTAACAGCAGCCAAACTGGACACCGTGGTCCCACCAGAGACCCCCCCCGGCCACCTCCAGCGCAGCCCGGACTCCCCCGTCACTGCCCTGCCCCACACCAGCCCCACATCCACAGGCAGATGCTGCGATGCCGCAACCATCACTGGTGGGTAGAGCCGGGTTGTGGTGGGGAGTGGGGTGAGGGGGATGCGGAGCTGGGGCAGCTCCGGGCTGGTCCTTTGTCCTGTCCCCATCTATGACTGGAGCTGAGCCACCCTCCTGGCATCCCTCACCCCACACCAGCATCCCTTGCCCCATGGCATCCCTCTCCCCACAGCAGCATCCCTCTCCCCACAGCATCCCTTGCCCCACACCAGCATCCCTTGCCCCATGGCATCCCTCTCCCCACATCATCCTTCTCCCCACACCAGCATCCCTCTCCCCACATCATCCCTCTCCCCACAGCAGCATCCCTCGCCCCACAGCATCCCTCACCCCACACCAGCATCCCTCTCCCCACACCAGCATCCCTCACCCCACACCAGCATCCTTCTCCCCACACCAGCATCCCTCTCCCCACAGCATCCCTCACCCCACACCAGCATCCCTCACCCCACACCAGCATCCCTCTCCCCACACCAGCATCCCTCGCCCCACAGCATCCCTCTCCCCACATCATCCCTCACCCCACACCAGCATCCCTCTCCCCACAGCATCATCTCTCTCCCCACGGCATCCCTCTCCCCACAGCATCCCTCACCCCACACCAGCATCCCTCGCCCCACAGCATCCCCTCTCCCGCTGAGCCCAGCGCTGCTCTGCCGGGCAGAGCGTGGCCAGGAGATGGCAGCAGGACCCTGCCCGCAGAAAGGGGGAAACGGGGAGGCGAGAGGGGTTAAGGTTAGGACCTGGGGGGGGGTCCCCCTGTTTGCCACCCTATGGGGGGTCCCCCAACCCCCGGTCCCTTCACGAGTGTCTCTGGGGAGCTCCCGGTGCCCCCCACTGCTGAGCCCGTGCCCGGTGCCCCCAGAGCCGTGCAGCGGCGATGTCCCCGAGGTGGAGCTCAGCAGCCTCCTGCGGGAGCCGCTGCCCCGTTACACGCTGCGGGCCGACACCGTCTTCGGGTACGACCACGAGGACTGGCTCCGTGCCCCCCCCGGCCCCCCGGGGCCCGCGGCCCCGCTCACGCCCCGGCAGATGGAGGAGACGCTGCGGTACTTCCGTGAGTGCGGGGTCAGGGCGGCACCGGCGCTCATGGCCGCTAACGGGATAACAGCAACGGGATAACAACGGGATAACAGCAACGGGATAACAACGGGATAACAGCAACGGGATAACAGCAACGGGATAACGGGATTGCGGAGCTGGATTTCCTCACCCGGAACATCCCGCTCTAATTCCGGCAGCGGCTTCTGCAGAGCCAAACCGGATGCTCGGGGAGAGGCTCCGGGTACCCCAGGACCCCCTGCACAACCCCCTCGTTGTGCCATGGGGAGGGGGACACGGGTGGCAGAGGGGTCACCGGTGCCCCCAGTGCTGCTGCGAGCCACTGAAGGGGATGAGAAGCCCGGGGTTGGGGGGGGGCACCCACAGCCCCCATGTGGGGCAGGGGTGATGCCCCCCATGGTTGCTGTTGGCTGTGGGGCACTGATGGATGATCTCCACTTCACTTCTGCCTCCGGCCTACGTGCGGCGGGGACAGGATTAGAGCGAGGGGCTGGATGTGGGGCAGTGGGAGACAGATGGGGCTGAGGCTGGGGATAAACCCCCCGTCGTGCTCCAGCTTTCCCCATCCATCTGCTCCCCTCCCTGTGCCGCCAGGTGCAGCCCCCCCCCCCCGACACCAGCACCCCCCAACCCAGTGGGGGATTGAGCCCCAAAGCCCATTTAGGTGCCATGGGGCAGGGAGCAGGATGTGGGTGCAGCCATGGGCCGAGGGTCACGTTTCTCCCTGGCTCCAGCACTGCTGTGGTGGGGGCTGGCTCTGCCTCATCCCCTTACCCAAACCTTTAAGCTGCCGTCAGAAATAGCCCCCTGTAATCTGCTTGTGCACAGACACGAGGGACCTGGCGCTGGGGATTAGGAAGAAGCAGCTCCTGCCTGGCCAGGAGACCCTGCTGTGTCCTTGGGGTCCCTGGCTGGGTGCCCTGGGTTGCTGCTGGGTCCCTGCCCTCACTGGGAGAGACCCTGGTGTGAGGAGGGCGATGCTGGGGCTGAGGGTGCCCGGCTCTGGCCCCAGCTGCAGCAGGGTTATGGCAGGACGAGTTTTGGGGCAGCGGGTGGGTGGGAGTCCAGGAGGCAGGAAAAGGCATCATGGGATGAGGAGGGGCAGCTCCAGCCCCAGCCTCATCGACCCGTCACTGAGTTTGGTGCTAATGAGGACTGGCACTGGGGCAGGCCGTGCGTATGTTGGCATTACCAGCATCACGCTGAGCCGTGGGGCCGTGGGGCTGTGGGGCCCTCGCCGCCGCCCTCCCGCCCTTGAGGCCTGCGTACGTGCCGGGCTGCTCCTCCATCATTCAGCCCATGATTTATTCAGCTCCTGCTTCCGCGCTGGTCGTGGCTGTGGGGCTGCAACGGGGGCTGCAGTGTGGGGCACGGGGCCAGGCTCGTGCCAGCCCCTGCTCGGGGTAGGGGGGTGCTGATGGATGGAAAAACCCTTTCCCAGCTCAGGGACCCAGCACTGCCCTGGGCACCGTGCAGGCTCTGTGCTGAGCGGGTTGGGTGATGGTGAAGCACCCAGGCCTGGGCAGGCAAAAGCTGCGCTGTGGTACCCGGGGACCCCAGCCCTGGATGAGAGACCCAAAACCTCCCCTCACCCCTAAGGGGCAGAAGCTGCATGACCCCATTGGGTCAGCCCTGCAAAGGGACCAGCGAACCCTCCACGGCCACATCCATGAGGATCCCTGTGCCCAGACCACCCCCCCCCCGCCCCGCATCCATGGGGTAGGGGCTGGGAGGTGGAACACATCACCCGGCGGCACCGGCACCCCTGGGATTGTCCTGATGGGTCCCCAGGGTACCCCGGGGAGCAGCAGCCTCTGTGACCCGATCCAAAGGGATCGGGCAGGAAAGGGCAGCCCCAGACCCCCCCCCCCCGGCCCCTCCAGCTCCGCCCCCTGCCCCACTCTCGGTCACGATCGCGGTGGGTGGGAGGCGCCCGGGGCAGGTGCGCGCAGCCCGGACGATGCCATAAATAGGGGCGAGCTGCGCGGCGCAGCGCTGCGCTGCGCGGGGGGGCACGGTTGGGCGCAGCGCGATGGAGATCTGGAGCAGCCCCGCTGCCTACGATGAGCGCAACGGGAGCGCGGAGCGGGGCGGCGGCACCGACCCCATCGCCCGGGAGCTGGAGGAAGGTGAGGGCGGCCCGGGCCGGCCCTGACCGGGGGCAGCGGAGCCGGGTCCCTGATGGGGGGTGCGCGGTCCCCGCTCGCAGCGCTGAGACCCGGAGCGGGGCTCTGAGCTCCTGCAGCGCTGGGTAGGGGATAGGGACCCGGCCAGGTCCGTGTGTGCCCACGGGATGGGGATCCCTGCGTGCCCACGGGATGGAGGTGGCTGTGTGCCCACGGGGTGGGGGTCCCTGTGTGCCCATGGGATGGGGATCCCTGTGTGCCCACGGGATGGAGGGCTCTGTGTGCCCATGGGATGGGGATCCCTGTGTGCCCACGGGATGGAGGTCTCTGTGTGCCCACGGGATGGAGGTCGCTGTGTGCCCACGGGATGGGGATCCCTGTGTGCCCATGGGATGGGGATCCCTGTGTGCCCACGGGATGGAGGTCGCTGTGTGCCCACGGGATGGAGGTCGCTGTGTGCCCATGGGGTGGGGGTCCCCCATCGCCCCGCACCCCGCTGGATGAGGCCGGCGCTGGGGCGGTGTTTACGTGCTTGCAGCGCTCAGCCCCCTGCGTCTGCCCGGGCCCGCCGCTCGCTCAAACCGTAACGATGCTCATGCTCTAATTACTTCCAATTAACGGCTCGGGGGCCTGACGAGGTGCACTTGGGGACCCTGCAGGGAGCAGCTGCTCTTGGGGCGCGGGAGGGGGATGAAGCTGGGGTTGTCCCCTCTCCCCATGGATGTGCCCGCTGGGGTCCGTGCCCACTGGGGTGCAGGGGACCAGCGCCGCGGGGCAGTGGGGACCGGAGGATGGGGGTTGTGGGGTGGGAGCATTGCTGTGACAACGCACACATCACTGCACACACCCCCCCCCCCCCAGCTGGGGCGGGGTAATGGGATTTGTGCGGCTGAGCCTCCCGTTAACCCGCTTTGTCTGCCCGGCTGCGGGCTGAGGTCAGGGGAAACTGAGGCACCCAGGACGGGGCTGGCTCTTGGTGGGGGGGGCGTTGAAGGGGAGGGAGCTGGGGACGCTGCCTGCGGGCCCGTCTCGGCGTGGTGCCACCCGCTGCTGTTTGTACCGGAGCTCCTTGCTGGAGGTGTCGGCTCCGATCCCATCTCTGCTGCCTGCCTCTTCCCATCCCTCCTTCCCATCTGTGTGCCCTGCGGTGGGGCTGGCGCTATGGGAGCAGCGGGGGGGGTGGTGGTGTCAGCATCCTTCTTTGCCATCCCAAGAGGCAGCAGGGGTGCGGGTGAGGTGGGAGCACCCCGTTTCCCGTGGTGCTGACCTGGCTGCGAGCATCCCTGTGCATCTCTGCCCTCTGCATCACGGCTGGTGCTGCCAAGCAGATAAAAGCTCCTTTTTGGTGGAGCTGCTTCGTGCCACCTGCAGCAGCGACCTCCCGTTTCCCCCATGGGCACCCCTGGGGGTCACTGATGGGAAGCGGTGACACGGGGGGACAGTGCTGAGCCGCTGGGGTCACCCTTCGTCCATCTCCCCCAGTGCTGTGCGCTGAGCGGGTGGCCAGGATCACCAAGACCTACCACGACATCGATGCTGTGACCAACCTGCTGGATGAGGTACGGCCATGGGACCCCCCCCATGCAGGCTGGGGACAAGGGGGCAGAGCCAGGGGCCGGGCTGGGGCTGAGCCGGACCTGCCCTTTGCAGAAGGAGCGGGACCTGGAGCTGGCGGCGCGCATCGGGCAGTCCCTGCTGAAGCAGAACCGGAGCCTGACCGAGCGCAATGAGCTCCTGGAGGAGCAGCTGGAGCTGGCCAAGGAGGAGGTAGCGGTCCCCGGGGTCCTGGGGGGGTGCAGTCCCTATGGCCGTGCCCTGATGCCCCTTTCCCGTCGCAGATCGCGCAGCTCCGCCATGAGGTTTCCATGCGGGACGATCTGCTCCACTTCTACACCACAACCACAGAGGAGAGTGAGCCCATCTCCTGCTCCTCTGCGCCGTGAGTGCGGGTCCCTATCCCAGGGCTGACCCTGGGGCATTGGGCCTGGAGCCGTCACCATCCCTTGGGTAGCACCAGGGCTGCTGCTCTTTCCCCTCCTACAGCAGCCGTGGGTCCAGCCCCACAGAGCTGGGTCACTGCAGATGCCTTCTGGGGGCAGTGGCAGCCCCATCCTGCCCGCTCTGCGGCGCTCAGCGCCCTCCCTGCTGCCCCCAGGTTGCAGCGGCCGGAGCCCTCGCTGTCCCTGCAGCAGTACTTCCAGTACGAGACCCTGCAGCAGAAACTCAAGTGCCTGGAGGAGGAGAACCAGAAGCTTCGCATGGAGGTTGGGGGGCACCTTTTGCTGTGCCCACCCCTGCCCCACTCCCTGCGGGTCCTGCCCGTCGTGCTCAGACCCTCTGGCCCTCTCCCCCAGGCCAACAACATCACAACCGAGACCTGTCGCTACGAGGAGCAGGAGCAGCAGCTGATGATCGACTGCGTGGAGCAGTTCTGTACGTGGGCTTTGGGGGGCTCGGGTTGGGAGGGGGGCTGCAGGCACTGCCCAGCACCGCTGCATGGGCTGGGGAAGGGGTGGCCCTGGCGGTGATGGAGCCCCCGGCCCCCCGCAGCCGAAGCCAGCCAGCAGGTCGCCCAGCTCTCGGAGGAGCTGGCCCGCAGGGCCGAGGACACGGCGCGGCAGCAGGAGGAGATCAGCCAGCTCCTGGTGCAGGTCGTGGACCTGCAGCGCAAGTGCCGTGCGGTGAGCGCCGGGGTACCCGTGCCATGGCGGCGGGGTGGGGGGGACACGCACAGGGCGCAGGTCCCTGAGCCCCCGCTCCTGCCCGCAGTACGGCGCCGAGGTGGAGGAGCTCCAGCAGCACTTGGCTGCGGCGAAGGAGGTGCAGCAGCAGCTCCGGATGGAGGTGAGCCCCTGGACCAGAGGGGGGGGGGGGGTCCTGGGTCCTGCCCGGGCACCACCGGGGCCGTGTCTGAGCCGTGCCGGTGCCCGCAGC